ACTCCCAGAATTCCCCAGCCAGCTATGCTGACTGGGAAATTCTGGGAGTTGAAGTCCACAGGTCTTAAAGTTGCCACAGTTGGGAACTCCTGGTATAAAGGATTACATCCTACTTAATCTTGGGTGCCCATTTTAATATATCATTCTTCCCAATTCTTTTCAGCTGTGTCTGTTAAGCATTTAGTTCTATGTGAGTTTTATCAAAAATTGTCCAAGACGGGACTATATAAAACTCTAACTAATGCGTCAGTTGTGGTTCTATATTAAGCAAGATGCTTTGTTGACAGTTACTTATCCTCTAATCATATTACTGGACTACTACATTGCACACCACAGAGGCTGACCTTTGAAGATGACTTGGAAGCTTTAACTGGTTCATAATGCTACAACTAAGTTGGTAGCTGGCAAAAATTGCTTTTGAAAGTATAAGTTGGTAGCTTTTGAAAGTATATCCCTATTCTTAGACTGCTGTATTGATTATCAGTACGGTTTGGGGCCTGATTCAAAGTGCTGGTTATCATCTCTATAGCCCTGTATAGGTAGTCATCACTTATCTACTGTCTTGTTTAGCAACCATTCAAAGTTATGATGGTGTAAAAAAAATCCAACTTTGAATCCAATTCTTCCATTTGCAACTATCACAGCATCCAGGGGACTGGAGGCTAAAACATATAAGGAACGGTTGCTGGAATTGGGTATATCTAGTTTAATGAAGAGAAGGGCGAGGGGGATATGATAGCAGTGTTCCAATATCTCAGGGGCTGCCACAAAGAAGAGGGAGTCAAGCTATTCTCCAAAGCGCCTGAAGGCAGGACAAGAAGCAACAGATGGAAACAAACCAAAGAGAGAAGCAACCTAGAATTAAGGAGAAACTTCCTGACAGTTAGAACAATTAACCAGTTAGAACAACCTGCCTCCAGAAGTGGTGAATGCTCCAACACTGGAAGTTTTTAAGAAGAGACTGGACAGCCATTTGTCTGAGATGGTATAGGGTTTCCTGCCTGAGCAGGGGGTTGGACTAGATGACCTCCAAGGTCCCTTCCAACTTTATTTTTTATTATTATTATTATCCCATGGTCATGTGACCATTATGGTCCCAATTGAAATCACTAAACATGGACAATCTTGTATGGTACGGCACTGGGATATGGCAGAGATTGCTTCAAACATGATTCTACCCTTCTGCTCCAATCAGGCTGTATTCACATAATATAGTAATTTAGCCTACCCAAATCTAATTTTTTTTCAGATGTGTGGATTTCTCAGTAATATCCTTGGGGAATTTTGGCGATTAAGTCTGAAACTCTATAGGGCATAGAGGTTGAAGACAATTGCACTCAACTATTCAATTATAAAGTTGAAAGGGACATTACTGTAAAAGTCATCTAATCCAGTCCCCAGCTCAGTGCATGATTCAGCAAAGGAGGACTTGTCACTTTATGTGGAAGCCTATTGACTGTTGACTGACAGTTGTACAATTAGGAAATTCCCTCTGACATTTAGTCTAAATTTCCTTCTTTGTAGTTTTAATGTACTGACTCTGGTCCTGGCCCCTAAGGCATCCAATAATTTGACTCTGTCTTCTATGTGATAGTCCTTCAAATATCTGAAGACAGCAATCATGTCCGCACAGTACTCTTTGGATTCTGTACTCAGTATAGAATTCAGATCCTGTATTCATTCCACATAGTACTTGGTTTCCAGATTCTTCATCATTTCAATAAGACTTTTGAATTGCAATTTGTCACTGTCCATTTTGCATTGTGGAGCTCAAAAGAGGATATAATATTTCAAGTAGGGTCCCAACCAGGACACAGTAGAGAGGAATATATTCTTCCAAATCTGTATACTCCTGCTAATGCATCCAATGGGAAGGAGATTAGCCTGTACCTAAAGCAACGGCTCCCAACGTTTTCTATACACCACACCCCTAGAACGCTTCTGATATATTCTCACACAAAAGTTCAAAATAACGGCAATGAATTATGCATATACACTCTAATTTTGAAAACCCAAGTTTTCGCACCCCCTGGAATATTGTCTCACACTCCCAGGGGATGCAAGCACCCCCGGTTGGGAATCCCTGACCTAAACAGTGTTTACAAAATTCTATTAGTCTTCTAGCCAGCGTAAGAACCAGCTTTCACACTTATATATAATGGCTGTCTTTGCACAACAAAATAATGCAGGTCACAGGCAACCCTGAGCCTCCATGTTGCTGTCCCAAGAGCTCACCAAGATTACACCTGTCAAGCTGCAAAGAATACCTATGCTGTGGCATCCATTACTGCTTCTTAGCTTGCCTACAAATTCAGGGGGGAGGGGAGGGAAGAATGGACATCGGACTGCCAAGCTGTGAGAACCAAGGTCCCTCAAGAGTTGTTTACTGAGAACTAAAACACTCTCTCGTAATAATTGTCTGACACTTCGTTGGACATTGTGACCTGCACTATTAGGGGGAGGGAGATTCTATACTTTTAATATACTGATTTTTGGTGCCAGAGCGGGTTTTGCTTTCACCTGTGCCGAAATGATTTACCCAATAAAGTTTTGTATTAGAGATCGGTTTGTCTCAGCTGTGCTTACTTCGTTGGGTTTGTCAGTCGGAACCATGACACCATTGAAATCAGTGACTAAATGGCCAAAGTTTAGATGCATGGATTTTTTATTTTAAAATAACTGTGGGAAGGAATGTGTTAAGTCCCTGCAAGACAAAACATATCCACTTCCTCCTTAATCTTTCCCCAGGTGTCCTCTCAAATGGGTCCAAAAATATTTAGCACCGTATCCTTAATGATACTGATATAGCTTTGCTGAGATTAAAGAATAAGGATATCTAAGCAAATTAAGTTCCTGCTGGCATTTAAACACCAGTAAAGTGGGAAATACTGGACAGTTAATTACCTAAGCAATTTCTCATCTGGATGCAACTTCAAACAGCTGAAGAACTCAACGGATGTGTTGTCAGTTTATTCCCATCATTTGGAAAGTTGACAGGAATCAGACATTTCCTTTGGAGGAAACCAGAGGAACAAAGGTCAAAGAATATTATGCAAACTAAAGTAGAAGAGGAAGAAAGGGTGAAACAAATGGAAAAGTTAGAAGTGCAAAAAAGAAAAAGAAAATATAAAGAAATGGCTTCCAATCTTCTTCATTATAAGTTATAAGTAAAATTGTATTTTACTTATA